CGACTCTGGAACTCACTCCCCAAGGATATCAGACAAGCCCCCACATTGGCAGTCTTTAGGAGGAGCCTGAAAACGTGGCTATTCCAGTGTGCCTTCCCTGCTCTGACCAATTCCCTGCAAAATGTCCTCAGAAGCACTTTAACTACCCGTTGGGTTGGTCTCCCTACATTATCTTTAAAAACCCTCCTGCTTAGATACATCCTACCTCTGTTCACGCCCAGTGTTTATTTTAATTTATTTATTTTATTACATCTGGCCCGACCATAAGGTTTTTAATTCTGTGTGTTATCGTTTATATGTGAGTTATATTATTTGTACTGTTTTATTTGCTTGCTGTTTTGTTTTTACTCATGTGTTGTTGGGCTTGGCCTCATGTAAGCCGCCCCGAGTCCCCTTGGGGTGATGGTGGCGGAGTATAAATAAAGTTTTTTATTTATTTATTTATTTATGGCTTGTATATCCCGTCCTATCTCAACCTCTGCAGAGGGACTCAAGAGGGAATCAGGGGTCTGGAGAACAAGCCCTATGAGGAGCGGCTTAAGGAGATGGGCATGTTTAGCCTAAAGAAGAGAAAGCTGAGAGGAGATATGATAGCCATGCACAAATATGTGAGAGGAAGCCACAGGGAGGAGGGAGCAAGCTTGTTTTCTGCTTCCCTGGAAACTAGGATGCGGAACAATGGCTTCAAACTACAAGAGAGGAGATTCCATCTGAACACGAGGAAGAACTTCCTGACTGGAAGAGCCGTTCAGCAGTGGAACTCTCTGCCCCGGAGTGTGGTGGAGGCTCCTTCTTTGGAAGCTTTTAAACAGAGGCTGGATGGCCATCTGTCAGGGGTGATTTGAATGCAATATTGCTGCTTCTTGGCAGAATGGGGTTGGACTGGATGGCCCAGGAGGTCTCTTCCAACTCTTTGATTCTATGATTCTATGAAGACGGCTGCGCCCATACCTTGGGAAGTCAGACTTGGCCACGGTGCTCCACGTTCGCTCTCATTACATCCAGGATAGACTACTGCAATGCACTCTACGTGGGGTTGCCTTTGAAGACTGCTCGGAAGCTTCAAATAGTCCAACAAGAGGCAGCTAGGTTAATAACTTGGGCGGCATACAGGGAGCATACAACTCCCATGTTACGCCAGCTCCACTGGCTGCCAGTTTGCTACCGGGCACAATTCAAAGTGCTGGCTTTGGCCTAGGAAGCCCTAAACGGCCTTGGCCCAATTTACCTATCCAAATGCATCTCCCCCTATGAACCATCATGGAGATTAAGATCATAGAATCATAGAATCATAGAATCAAAGAGTTGGAAGAGACCTCATGGGCCATCCAGTCCAACCCCCTGCCAAGAAGCAGGAATATTGCATTCAAATCACCCCTGACAGATGGCCATCCAGCCTCTGTTTAAAAGCCTCCAAAGAAGGAGCCTCCACCACACTCCGGGGCAGAGAGTTCCACTGCTGAACAGCTCTCACAGTCAGGAAGTTCTTCCTCATGTTCAGATGGATCCTCTGGGGAGGCCCTGCTCTCCCTCTCGCCATTGTCACAGGCACGATTGGTGGGGACAAGAGACAGGGCCTTCTCGGTGATTGCCCCCAGCCTATGGAACTCCCTTCCTCGTGAGATCAGGTCGGCCCCTCCCTCCTGTCCTTTAGAAGGATGGTAAAAACTTGGCTGTGGGACCAAGCTTTCGGGACAGGGCAATAAAGCAGCAATAGGAAAGATTACCAGGCCAATTAGATTTGACGCTGATGACTAGGATGGTTTTAAATGGTGTATTTTAATATTGAGATAAATGCTTTTAATGTTTATGTATGCGTATATGAATTTGTGTCCCGGCATTGAATGTTTGCCGTATATATGCTGTGCTCCGCCCTGAGTCCCCTTCGGGGTGAGAAGGGCGGAATATAAATGTTTTAAATAAAGAAAAAATAATAATACAAGAAAGCAGAAATGACCCAGCCAGGGACATAAACAGCATGGCTCATTCCAGAATGTTGCCGCACATTTGTTTGACCAGACAATGGAAGCCACATACCGTAGGGACGCAATGCACAATGAAAAGGATTTAAAAGCCTTTGGGAGCTAGAAACTGATACTGAAAAATTAAAGAGCACATTACTAACCTGGCTAGGAAACAGTCCATGCAAAAAGGAGTCTTAGGAGATCACAACGAGCCGAGAGAGGGATTGGATGTTTTGGAATGGAGGGCTCTTGGAGTCCCTTCTGACTTTATGATTCTACATTATGGCCCGTGAGATTTATTTATTTACTAGCTGTAACCACCACGTGTTGCTGTGGCCAACCTTCCCTCCCTCTTTCTCTCCTTTCTTTCTTTCCTTCCTTCCCTCTTTTTTCCCTTCTTCATTGTTCCTTCTCTGTTTCCTTTCTTACTTCCTTTGCTCTTTGGTTCCATCCTTCCTTGTCTCTTTCCTTCCTTCCCCCTGTCTTTCTCTTTTTCATTCCTTCTCTTCCCTCTTTCACTTTCTTTCCTTCTCTCCTTCCTTCCCTCCCTCTTTCTCTTTCGTTCCTTCTCTCCTTCCTTTCCTCTTTCACTTTTTTATCTCCTTCTCTCCTTCCTTCCTTCTCTACCTTTCCTTCCTTCCCTTTCTCTTTTGTTCCTTCTTCCTTTCCTTTTTCACTTTTATTTCCTTCTCTCCTTCCTTCCTTCCCTCCCTCTTTCTCTTTCATTCCTTCTCTCCCTTTTTCTTTCATTCCTTCTCTCCTTCCTTCCTTTCCTTTTTTCATTTCCTTCTCTCCTTCCTTCCTTCTCTCCTTTTCTCTTTCTTTCTTTCCCTCCCTCTTTCGTTCCTTCTCTCCTTCCTTTTCTTTCACTTTTTTATTTCCTTCTCTCCTTCCTTCCTCCTCTACCTTTCTTTCCTTCCTTCCCTCCCTCTTTCTTTCCTTCCTTCTCTCCTTTCTTCCTCTTTTTCTTTTTTATTCCTTCCTTCCTTTTCTTCTTTCCTTCCTCTTCTTTCTTTTTCCTTCTCTCCTCCCCTCTTTCACTTTTCTATTTCCTTCTTTCCTTCCTTCCTTCTCTTCTTTCTTTCTTTCTCTCCTTCCTCCCTCCTTCTCTTTCCTTCCTTCTCTCCTTCCTTTCCTCTTTCACTTTTTCTCCTTTCCTTCCTTCTCTACTTCTTTCCTTCCTTCTTTCTCTTTTTCCTTTCCCTTCCTTCCTTCTCTACCTTTTCTTTCTTTTCTCCTTCCCTCCCTTCTCTTTCTTCCTTCTCTCCTTCCTTTCCTCTTTCACTTTTTTATCTCCTTCCTTCCTTCTCTAGCTTTCTTTCCTTCCTCCCCTTTCTGTCTTTCGTTCCTTCTCTCCTTCCTTCCCTCTTTCACTTTTTTATTTCCTTCTCTCCTTCCTTCCTTCTCTACTTTTCTTTCTTTCCTTCTCTCCTTCCCTCCTTCTTTCCCTCTTTTTCGCCCTCTTTCTCTCTCTCCTTCTTTCCCCCTTTCTGTGTATGTTTTGTGTGTGCATATATGTGTTTTTTTTGGAGTTCGGTGCTATCTCTATGCGGATGACGCCCAACTCTACTACTCCTTTCCACCTAATTCCAAGGAAGTCCCTCGGGTGCTGGACGAGTGCCTGACCGCTGTGACGGTTGGATGAGGACGAATAAGCTGAGGATCAATCCCGACAAGACAGAGGTCCTCCAGGTCAATCATAGGCCGGATCGAGGTATAGGGTGGCAACCTGTGCTTGATGAGGTTGCACTCCCCCTGAAATTGCAGGTCCGCAGCTTGGGTGTCCTCCTGGACTCAGCGCTGACGCTTGAAGTTCAGGCTTCGGCAGTGGCTGGGAGGGCCTCCACACAATTGAAGCTCGTGTGCCAGCTGCGAAGTTGGATTTGGTCACGGTGGTCCACGCCTTAGTTACCTCTAAACTGGACTACTGTAATGCGCTCCACGTGGGGCTGCCCTTGAAGACGGCTCGGAAATTCCAATTGGTCCAACAGGCGGCAGCCAGATTATTAACTGGTGCAAATTACAGAGAGCGGTCAACCCTCCTGTTTAAGGAACTCCACTGGCTGCCATTTATTTTCCAGGCCCAATTCAAGGTGCAGGTATTGACCTACAAAGCTTTAAACGGTTTGGAACTCACTTACCTGCGCGACCGCATTTCCATCTATGAACCCACACGATCTTTTCGATCTTCTGGAGAGGCTCTTCTCTCACTCCTGCCCACATCGCAAGTGCGACTTGAGGGGACAAGGGAGAGAGCCTTGTCTGTGGTGGCCCCCCAGCTCTGGAACTCACTCCCCAGAGATATTACGCAAGTCCCCACACTGACAATCTTCAGGAGGAATCTGAAAACCTGGTTATTCCAATGTGCCTTCAGTGAGTGAATGTAAGATACTTCCTGACCAAACTTTGCACAAATGTCCCTGGATGGCCATCTGTTGGGAGGGCTTGAATGGAGTCTTCCTGCCTGACATGAATAGGGGGTTCTGTATTCTGAGCCTGGGTTATCATCTGCTCTGAGCTTGATTGCTTTTGCCTCCGCAGAGTTTCCTTTCTCCCGAATCCATCCCATCGGCGGTAGATTAGTCGGATCTGGAGAGATATGTTAAGGCCTGCGGGGATGAGGGCTTTTCCTCCAGCTCCTGAACAGAGAGCCTCCTCCCGTGGGAGCCTGCTGGCCATGCACGTGCACTCCTTCCCTCCCCCCTCCCTCCCTGAGGCTTAAGTTGGACGTCTTTCTGAGGGGGGGAGGGAGGGGAAATGTTTTTTGGGGTTTTTGTGAGTGGAGAACATAGCTTGCTTGAGATAGTGTCTAGTGTCCAAATTTGGTGTCAATTCCCCCAGTGGTTTTTGAGTTCTGATGGTATCACAAACGAACATTACATTTTTATTTATATAGTGTGTACTGCATTGATGGGTGTGGCCTCATGTAAGCCGCACCGAGTCTTCCTGGGGGAGATGGAGCAGGGTATAAATAAAGTTTTATTTATTTATTTATATTTATCCTTTTGAACAACACTCAAAACAATGCGATTCTCATTGGCAAGTAAGTGGCACCCCACTAATGTTCATGAATTTATTGCTTCGTTTCGAATACAGGTAAACACAGTAGCGTTGGGGAAGATATTGTTAATGGCTTGCAACTGGATAAGGACATATCCAAATTTCAAGGTTTTTTTTTCTTGGCACGTCGGATGGAGAGGTAGTTTGTAAAACTACGAAAGTGTCGGTGGGGAGAAAGTACACGGTTAGTGAAGCGGCACCCAAGACCTCATACATGTTCACACACACCAGTCCTGCTCGCAGCAGCACACACCGTTATGTACAAAACACTTTGTCCGGAAAGTCCCGAGTTTCTTTCACCGGGCATCCGCCACATCACGTCAGAAGTTGTTGCCGGTCGGAATCCCGTAACGGAGCGGCCGCCTCCTCGGTTTGATGTTTGTCCATCACCTGGAGGACGTCGTCCAGAATCGAGGGCCCCAAATCCACGTGGAGGGAGAGGAGTGACCCAGCGTGAGACAGGATGACAGCCTCATCTTTGTCCCCTTCTTCGGTGAAGCCGTTCAAAGGAGCCATGCACTTGCCGTTAGCCACAGCCGGCGGCTCCGGAGTCCGAGTGCCGTTGGTTGGGTTCGGCTCAGGGTCCAGTATTTGTGGGGCCACTGGAGTCTTGTCATCGAGATGGAGGCGGGGAGGTTTCGGCGGAGCTTGAGCAGAAGGCAAGGTCAAGGCTTGCAGCCCACCGATGACCGGGAGAGAGATGGCATTCTTCAGGAGTGGTGAGGGGATCTCCAACGACTGCGGGTCGTAACCGGAGATGGTGGCGGTGCGGGAGAACTCAAAGGGCACCACGTAATGTCCGCCTCCGTCTTCGCTCAGATTGCTCTCAGACCGCGGCAGGAGGTGGAACTTCCCTTGGAGGAAGGAAATGTCCCCAAACATGTCGTTCTCCCCACCGCTCCCGATGTGGATCGTGTGCCGGAAGTCCCCCAGCGGCGGGCTGATCATGTCCGAAGAGAGGATGTCGCGGAGTTTCTCCTTCTTTCCCCGGCGGCTTCCCCGTTTCAGGTAAATAGGCACTTTGGCGGTGGACATCTTGGCGACAGTAAAGGAGGCAATAAAGAAGAAAAGAGATGCTATTCAGCGCTGGCCTGACCCATCCGAAAGAAGACCATAAAGAAGATAATCCTCAAGCAAGGCTATGTTGACATCACGTTGGGAGGAATTTCCCGGATGTTTCGGATGTCTTCGGTGTCAATATCGTAGCCTGCAGCAGCAATGTCGTGTTACTCATTCACTGATATGGAGGCAAGGCCCAAAAGAGAGTCATGTTGAAATTCTACAAAATCGGTTCAGTCTTCTCTGTGCCGTCCACATAGGGAGATCCGATGCCACCTCCAAACCAATATTTCCACCTTTTTATATAGGGAATCTGGCAATTCTGAAAGAAAGATGGGGAGAAAAATTATACTATGCTAATAATATAATATAATATAATATAATATAATATAATATAATATAATATAATATAATATAATATAATATAATATAAATCTATATAAATAAAAATGTAATGTTCGTTTGTGCTATTCACAGAACTCAGAAACCACTGGGGCAATTGACACCCAATTTGGACACTATGCCCCTAACAACCCAATGTATGTTTTCCACTCAAAAAACAACGAAAACCAAAAGCAGAAAGGACTTCTAAACTTCATGTCCACAAAGGAGAAACTGCATGTCTACGGAGACCCATGGCCACGCCCCCTCCTCCTCGCAGAGAAACAGCCGGCCGTTAAAGCCAGGCGCACGTGCGTGGCCACACACACACACACAAGCGAGTGGAGGTGGAGGCTTGCCGCATGGAGCCCCTTCTCTTCCCCTCCTATGTCAGGAGAGCAGTCTCCTCCTCCTTTCCCTGTTGGAAAGTGCCAGCAGCAGCAACGGAGTGCTCCACGCAAGGAAGAAGGGGAGGAGGAGGAGGAGGCAAGGAAGGTCCACCATGCTTGAATGGAGGACCTTCCTTCTCTCCCTCCCTTCCCTTCTTTCCTCCCTTTCCTTTTCTTCTTTCCTTCTCCTTCCTTTCCTTCTTTCCCTCCTTCCCTTCCTTCCTCTCCCTCCTTCCTTCTTCCTTTCCTTCTTTTCCTTCCTTCCTCCCTCCCTCCCTTTCCTCCTTCTATCCCTTTCTTCATTTCCTTCTCCTTCATTTCCTTCCCTCCCTTTCTTCATCCCCCTCCTTTCTTTCCCTCCTTCCTTCTCCTTCCTTCCTTCCTGTCCCTCCTTCTTTCTTTTCCTTACTTCCCTTCTTTCCCTCCCTCCCTCCCTTTTTCCTTCCTTCCTTCCTTCCCGTCTCTCCTTCCTTCCGTCTTCCTTTCCTTCTTTCCCTTTCTTTTTCCTTCCTTCCTGTCCCTCCTTCCTTCCTTCTTCCTTTCCTTTTTTCTATGTAAGATATAAATACAATATTAAATGGAAGGGACAGTCAAGAAGTAACGAGAGAAGGAGGGAAAGAGGGAAGAAAGAAAGGAGAGAAGGAGGGAGGAAAAGAAGGAAAGAAAGAAAGAGAAGCAAGGAAGGAGAGAAGGAAATACAAAAGTGAAAGGAAAAAGAGAGGGAAGGAAGGAGAGAAGGAACGAAAGATAGGGAAGGAAGGAAGGGAAGCGAAGGAAGGAAGGAAGGATGTAACCAAAGAGCAAAGAAAGGGAGGAAAGAAACAGGTAGAGATGGAAGAAAGATGAGAGATAGGGAAAGAAAAAGAGGAAAGGAAGGAAAGAGGGAAGGGAGGAGAGAAAGAGGGAGGGAAGGTCTAGTCTATATAGATAAAAATGTAATGTTCGTTTGTGGGATTAACATACCTCAATAACCACTGGACAAATTGCCGCCAAATTTGGGCACAAGACACCTACTAACCCAAGGAGGGTCCATCACTCAAAAATTTTGATTTTGTCATTTGGGAGTTGTAGTTGCTGGGATTTATAGTTCATCTACAATCAAAGAGCATTCTGAACCCCACCAACGATGGAATTGAACCAAACTTGGCACACAGTTCTCCCATGACCAACAGAAAACACTGGAAGGGTTTGGTGGGCAGTGTCCTTTGGTTTTGGAGTTGTAGTTCACCTACATCCAGAGATCACTGTGCACTCAAACAATGATGGATCTGGACCAAACTCTACAAGAATACTCAATATGCCCCAATGTGAACACTGGTGGAGTTTGGGGAAAATAGAATCTTGACATTTGGGAGTTGTAGTTGCTGGGATTTGTAGTTCACCTACAATCATTCTGAACCCCACCAACGATAGCACTGTGAACCCAAACACTGATTGATCTGGACCAAACTTGGCACACATGCCTGATATGCTGAAATTTGCTTACTGTAGGGGTTTGGGGGGAAGTGACCTCCCTTCCTGGGAGTTGTAGTTCACCCACAACCAGAAAACAGTGATCTCCACTAGTAATGGACCTGGACCAAACTTGGCACACAGAACTCCCATGACTAACTCAACCTACTAGAGGGGTTTGATGGGACTGACTCACCATAGTGGGAGTTGTAGTTCACCCTACTGCCTGAGAGCACACTGAACCCCACCAATGATGCATCTAGAGCAAACCTGCCCAATGTAACAAACTTTAAGTACAGATGGGGGTTTCTCGTTGTTAACCTGGCATGATGGGAGTTGTAGTTCACCCACAATCTTATGCATTCTGCACAATTAAAATCTGACTTCTTCAAATAACCCGGGATATGTCAGGTACTCAAGCTCATTGATGACTTAAAAGAAGAAAGTCACATTGATTTGGGGGAATTGTAGTTCACCTACATCCAGGGAGCACTATGAACCCAAACACTGATGGATCTGGACCAAACTAGACACACAGACCTGATATGCCAAATATTGATTACTGGAGGAGTTTGGGGGGAACTGGCCTTCCTTTCTGGGAGTTATAGTTCACCCACATCCAGGGAGCACTGTGAACCCAAACACTGATGGATCTGGACCAAACTAGGCACACAGACCTGATATGCCGAAATTTGATTACTGGAGGGGTTTGGAGGGAACTGGCCTTCCTTTCTGGGAGTTGTAGTTCACCCACATCCAGGGAGCACTGTGAACCTAAACACTGATGGATCTGGACCAAACTAGACACACAGATGTGATATGCCGAAATTTGATTACTGGGGGGGTTTGATGGGAACTGACCTTCCTTTCTGGGAGTTGTAGTTCACCTACAACCAGAGACACCATGACCTCCACTGATGGTGGTCCTGGACCAAACTTGGCACACAGAACCCACATGACTAATTCCACCTACTGGAGTGGTTTGAGAGGACTGAGTGGGAGTTGTAGTTTACTATCTTTCTAAAGATGCAGAAGGTTGGACTCTATGCCCCATGAGTCCCTTTTCCACCTCTACGATTCTGTTATAATAAAGGGAAGCGGAGGACACAGAAGAAGTTCAGTCCTGTCCATGTTTTCTTCCGCTGCCAGAAATGCAAGAGAAGGCCTCCGAATGCCAAATGTGGGCCACGCTCGATGGAGCCAACGGCCATGCGTCCCAACACAATCGCAGCTCCGCTTTCACCAGCCAAAAGCTTTCCAATTAAGTCCGCAAGAGTTGCCGGCTGACAAAAGGACTAAGCAAACAGCCCACCCACCCGAGGAAGGCATCCAGCCCCTTTCATAACAAGGGGGCCTCGACTACCAGAACTATGGACTGTTCTGTTTCTCCGCGAGGGAATAATTAACGCCGGCACCGCTACAAGCCTAATGAAGTCTAATCATTAAGTTTTTGCTCAGAAGAGTAAGCGAGACAAGGCGGAATGCCGCTTCGCACGGGTTTCCAGGCTCTCAGAAGTATGTCGACAGGGAAAACAAAGATCTGCAACGCTGCGCACCAGGATCCTGGAGAGTTTTGCACAGCTACGATCTGCTCCAGACCAGCATTATTAGTGCGCCCGTCACATTCACGAGGGAAAGGAGCACAAAGAGTAGATGACATATACAAACGTGGGGGGAAGATGCAAAAAATTTTTTAAATGTAAATGATAATAATAATTATTGTTATTATTATTGTTATTGTTATTATTATTATTATTATTATTATTTTATATTCCGCCCTATCTCGCCGAGGGGATTCAGGGTGGATTCCAGCATACACAAAAACAAAAGCAAACATTCAATGCCTAGAAACAGCCTTGCAGTCTTAGGACAACTGTGATTCTATCCATCTGTATTGAGATCTTCCTCTTTTCCTACTTCTTTCTACTATAGGAAGCATCACTGACTCATCTATCTATCTATCCATCCATCCATCCATCTATCTATCTATCTATCTATCTATCTATCTATCTATCTATCTATCTATCTATCTATCTATCTGTCCATCTATTCATGTATCTGTCTAACCATCTACCTACCTACCTATCTAATCAGTTTACCTAGGTATCTATCTACCCATCTACCTACCTACATTCACCTACCATCTATCTATCTATCTATCTATCTATCTATCTATCTATCTATCTATCTATCTATCTATCTCATCTCTCCACCAGCCCTATCTCTCATCTATCTATCCATCCATCCATCCATGCACCCATCAACCCATCTATCTACCTACCTATCTACCTATTTACCTATCTTCCTATCTACCTACCCACCCACCCACCCACCCACCCACCTATCTATCTATCTATCTATCTATCTACTTACCTACCTACCTATTATCTATCCATCCACCTATCGATCCATTCACCCATCTACCTATCTACCGGTCTGTTTGTCTGTCCGTCTGTCCATTTATCCATCCGTTCACCCATTAACCCATCTACCTACCTATCCATCCATCCATCTATCCACCCATCCATCTATCTATCTACCTACTATCTATCTATCCATCCATCTATCGATCCATTCACCCATCTACCTATCTACCCATCTATCTACCTATCAATCAATCAATCAATTTATCTATCATTCACCCATCCACCCACCCATCTATCCATCCATCCATTCACCCACCCACCCATCCATCCATCCATCTATCCATCCATTCACCCACCCATCCATCCATCCACCTATCGATCCATTCACCCATCTACCTATCTACCGGTCTGTTTGTCTGTCCGTCTGTCCATTTATCCATCCGTTCACCCATTAACCCATCTACCTACCTATCCATCCATCCATCTATCCACCCATCCATCTATCTATCTACCTACTATCTATCTATCCATCCATCTATCGATCCATTCACCCATCTACCTATCTACCCATCTATCTACCTATCAATCAATCAATCAATCAATCAATTTATCTATCATTCACCCATCAACCCATCTACCTTCCTATCCATCCATCCATCCATCCACCCACCCACCCACCCACCTACCTACCTACCTATCTATCTATCTACCTACTATCTATCTATCTAT